GTTGGTGGGGTTATTGAGGGTTCTGGACCCAAAAAAAATATAAAACAAAAAAAATGTTGTTGTTTTTTTTTTTTGCGGGGTGCCGACGACCCCCGACCGGTAGGTGCCGACCAGTCGACCAGTCCAGGGGTGCCAACCGTCGGGGTGTGAAACACTGCCACAAACCATAATCATCTATACTCTTGGAACTGGGACATGTTGACACGAACGTAGAGATGCTCTCACTCACCCACAGGATTCACGCACAAAATAGAGATGAACAGCATCAACTTTGCCCCACTGAACGTTCGACATCATCTACGCAGCAGTTAAGACCAATGTTTATCCACTTCGCAACAGTCATTAAGACCTCCACACCTTATCCGCTTTGCAGCAGTGATAGGTCCAAACTAATTTCACTGCAGCCTTCGGGACATCACGACATCAGACGACCAAAAAAAGACAAAACATGCAATGGCCAAGCCAATCCTCCTTTGCAATTTCCGTCCATATCCCTGTCATTGTGTTGTTCCTAACCAGTCCCCCTTTCCAGTTCCACACTTCCACTTCCCTTCTGTCTCCCTTCTTCCCTACCTCACTCGATTCCACCCCCTTCCCACCTCTCACTCCATGCCTTGCTCTCTCTCATTTGCACCCGTTTCCTCCCTTTCGTCACCACCCGTACCTAACCTTTCCTTCACCCTCTCTTCCTTTTGTTTCTAGCAACACTCCTCGCCTTCCTATCTTGCTTCCTTCTCACAGGTCCAAGCTGCAATAGGCAGAGGTCCATCATGCAGTCGCTTCCACACTTACCTCTTTTACCTCCTGCACAGCACAGTAAGCTTTTGTGGGTATGCCAAGCTCCTTGGGCTGGACATCGATAATCACCAAAACTGGATTGGCAGCATAGCTGGTCGCCACGACACGCGCAATAGTCAATAAATTTGTGCTGCCAGGGAAAATGAACCTCCGATCTTCTTTTTGTTTCTTTGCTTTTTTTCAACCGAGCATTCCGCCGACTACAAGCCTGAGTGTTGGGTTTCGTTATGTTTCTTTGTTTTACGTTGCAAGCATCCACAGAAGCTAACAGAAGGATACCGTGAAGACGAACTCGAATTACAAGCACATATGGCACTCCTGAACCACTATTGCCTCCGCAACAAAGCAATGACCAGATAACAGAGAGCAACGATCGCACGTGTGCAGAATATTAGGCCTCGATTTTTTGCTATGATTTTCCTAGTGTGACAATACTGAAAGTCTTTCGATGAAGAATTAACTCCCTTCACTCCACCACCACCGAGAACAATAACAATAATGCAACCGGCAAAAAATCCCACTCCCCTCCTCCATCAACCAGCCAATATGATAACCTTGACCCTACTAGTCGCCTACACGACCCTACTTTGCTCATTCCCGCTTGTCATCAATGCCATCGACCACAATGCTGCTCCCAATGCCCTGGAGGTCAGCTGACCAGGTAAGTCTACTCCCTTCGTTTCCCCCAGGCTCTCTCCTGCTCATCCAATGACCACCAATCTCTCTCTCTCTCTCTCTCTCCCCTCCCCCCCCAGCACCCAGCTATGGCTGGTTGGCACTTCCGCAATTGGTGCTACTACAGGACCCTTATGGTCAACAGCCAACCATGATGAATCCCGCTGGTCAGAAGTATCCAGACTGGCCCAGATCTTTCCGGACTAGACCTGGTCTGGCCCGCCCTATACTTCGTCACTTCGGCCCAAGTCCTTCCACATGCGTCCATGTTAGGGCCTACTGGCCCCCAGTCCATCCATAGGCCCAGTGGTCACTGACGAGAATGAGTGAGCTTAAGCACTCTTACAGTCTACGCTTTCTCCTTTGCACACGCCAACAAATTTGCAAGCCAGATCCGTGCACAGCACCCATCGCATACCTGTTGCATAAGGCGAAATGATGTGTGCATGGCACTAGAAGAAAGGGACGGAAAAGTTATGTGTGCATGGCACTAGAAGGAAGGGAGGGACAACCGGATGCACACATCATCCATCGCCTCATCTAACACTCTCCTTCCGTCCCCCATTCACACAAACACTTGAAGACCCTCACCCCAAACCCTACCAGCTTGTCACCCTTCTCTCCACCTGAGCCCCACCCTCGTCGTCACCTTGCTCCCTGACCCTCCTGGCCCCTCCTCCTTATCATCCGCCTAGTCTTATGGCTCAAGCATCCCCGAATCACTACTCCACTTTGCCACCTACCCCATTGTTGCTCCACATTCTCTTTTTCCTTCTCCTCTTTCCCTTCCCCCTCTTTCCTCCTCCTCCTCCAGGTCCTCCAATTCTCCCTTGAAGACTTTTCCCCTTCTCCTACTCCATCAGCATACAACACAACATTACCCTAGTCACCCTCATCATCACTATCAGCTTCTCCACCCTCTTCCTACTCCGTCTTCTTCATCTTCTCCACCTCCTGATCCACATCCTTGCATTCACCCACCTTTCCCTTCAAATCACAAACTTATACAATCAACCCCCTTGCATTAACGCCATAACTTCACCATCCTCCTCCTCGCATCTCTTCCTCCTTGTCTTCCTAGGCCAGCTCCTCATCTACATCACCATTCTTCTCATGCTCTCACAGCTTTTTCCATCCCTCCTACCATTTTCCTCCCCTTCTCCTATACAGTGCCATTCCCCTTCACCATCCGCTTCATGGCATGCAAATGCGCACACACACACACACACAAAAAAAAAAAAAGGTGCAAAACGGAGAGGCTGAACTCGATCATCCCCGTCCTCCTTTACCATCCATTTCATGACATGCAAACGCGCACGCACATACATGAACACACACAGAAACACACACACACACACACACACGCACACACACACACACACACACGCACACACACACACACACACACAGAAAAAAGCGCAAAAAGGAGAGGCTGAACTCGATCATCCCCATCCTCCTAGGCAGCTGCTCATCAAATCCACAGCCTCCTCTTCTACCCACTTTTCCCCTCGTCCCACCACTTTCTTTCTGTCTCCGTTTCATGCATTCTCTCCTACCATGCCCTTCAACATTGACGCACACAAAAAATAGAAACTTTCTGTCTCCGTTTCATGCATTCTCTCCTACCATCCCCTTCAACATTGACGCACACAAAAAATAGAAACACAAAGAGAAACGGCTGAAACGACTTACTCAAGGAACACATTGTGTATGTCGAGATCACTCTCCCTCAGCTTCGGCCCAGTGCTGTACCAGCCAACAACATGCTCCTTTGCTGTGCGAATCAAGGCAATAGAGACATCAAATCCCCACCCCATCCCCATCCAGCCCCACCAACACAATCAATCAGTCAGCAACCATGACGCCGCAAAGAAAACAGACTACAGGCATGTCCTGCGGGTCAACAATGTGAAGACAACAAACACAATATCCAGAGATCGCTTCTGGGCATCCAGCTCGCCCAGTCCAAGGGATTGCTCCCCTACTACCCTTACAAGGAACAATGCATGATGACAAAAGGCAGCTCAAGCAAGCCACTGAAACGTGCCATGTGACGACGCACACCCAGTGAGTGACACCTTGCAAACTGAACAGAATCGAAATCAAAGAAAGGACAACGACATGTAGGGGAAGAGAGAGAGAGAGAGAGAGTTCCGATGTCGAGTCCTGCGCTCACAGCTACGGCTGCGGGCCATGTCCCAACCTCTATTTAAAAGAAGCAAACACTGGAAACCATTACAGTCCCCTATGTTGCCCAAGGTCTGCAGCAATGTACACAGCAAGCCGCAGGCAAGTTTGGGCGTATCAGGTGCAGTGGTGGGAATGATGGGAGGGATCAACATTTTTTTTCTGTCACGACTACTAGTTTGACTGTGTTCTTCCCACCAGAGAGAATTGCCCGCATCAGCAGCATCTGTATACTAAACCAAATAGAACAACATAGCATTGTATTCGCGAGAGTACGAGTCTCCCAGAAAAAAATACAGAAAAAACAGTGGCAGGCCTTACCATTAATCTTCTTGAACATGCCCAACATCGCTTCATGGTAATTGTGATCCAGAAACCAAATGGTCGGTTCTCTGTCGTCCTCCTCGAATGGCACTGCAGCAAAACCATAAACACATCTCCCCATCAGTCACAAATCCTCTTGACGAGACCTTACGTCGACTATTTCCTCTCTCTCTCTCTCTCTCTCTCTCTCTCTCTCTCTCTCTCTCTCTCTCACACACACACACACACACACACACACACACACACACACACACACACACACACACAAACACAAACACACACACACGGGATACAGTTTGACAGAAAAAAGGGAGAGTGAAACAGAAAAGGGGGAAATCCGTAGAAATATACGCCGGCCACAATTTTCCTGCTGACCCTTTGGACTGTTTAGGTGCATGATCTGCTACTTCTGTCTTTGACCAACCCAGCTTCCAGCGTTCACCCAAAAAGGCCGCCTCCTGTTGATCCTCATTTCGCTCCAACGGATTAGCTAATGACTGTCTGCGAGTGATTGATTGAATTCCCCGAATAGAATGCACGGTGATCATAGCTGCATTTGGGGCGACTTTCAGTCTGCAGCGGTGTTAACGGGCGGAACTTTCGCGGGGGTTCTAACGCCCCCGAAAGTCACTCAGCGGTGTCTGCGGCGGTGTGAACGGGCGGAACATTCGCGGGTGCGGATTCTTTTTCTCTTTTCCTTTTCGTTAGCTTGTCATGATGTTTTTCCCAAATGTCATCATGTTTGCGTTCGGACTTTCCAACTCCCATCTTCCCCCGACAAGAACACACGGTCATTTGCATCTGGACTGAAAGTCGCCCCAAATGCAGCTATGATCACCGTGCATTCTATTCGGGGGAAGACGGTAAGTTTAGCTTTATTAATTCTTATTTTGGTCATACCTATGATCATCGTGCATTCTATTCGGGGGAAGACGGTAAGGTTGAACTTTATTAATTCTTCTTCAACTTTATTAATTCTTATTGAACTTTATTAATTCTTATTGAACTTTATTAATTCTTATTGAACTTCATTAATTCTTATTGAACTTTATTAATTCTAATTGAACTTTACTAATTCTTATTTTGGCCATACCATGCTGTGTATTCCTCCTCTCCTATTTTTCTGACCCCTGTCTACTTGTGGAGTGCGAGGGAGGATTGGGGCGGGAGGTGGGAGCGGCCGAGAGAGGGGTTGGGGAGGAGAGGAGAGTCTGGTATCCCGCCCACACCTCGCGCTCACGAACTCCCCGTTCAACTGCATCGAGGGGGACACGGTCGGAGATCTTCCGAGGACTACCGTCTTCACCCGAATAGAACGCCCGGTCATTATAGCTGTATTTGGTGCAACTTGCAGTCCAGATACGGCTATAATTACCGGGCGTTCTATTAGGGTGAAGACGGGTAGAGTTTCATTTTCCTCGACCCGTCATCTTCACGTCTCCCCACGACCGTCGACTGTGATTCTCATCGACGGATTGGAACCGCAAGGATCAAGTCAACGGTTGCGATCGTATCGTTTCAACGGTCAACCCGACTGTTGATCGATAAATCGATTAATTGGATCGATCAACTGATCGGCCAGCTAATCTACAGATCGATTAATTGATCAATCAGTCGATCGATCGATTGATTACTGATCGACTAATTGATCGACTAATTGATCGATTGATCAATCAGTTGATCAGTCGATCGATTAACTGATCGATATCGATCGATCGGTTAATTGATCGATTGATCAATCAGTAGATCTGTTGCACGTTATTAACTTATGCAACATAAATTGATCGAGCAACTGATCGATTGATGGGTTGATGGATAGACTTCAGATTCCAGCTGGCTGACCGTTTAAAAGACGATTGCCTAGTAAAAAAGATAACATAAGGCCATCATATTCACACGATAATTCGCCGATCTGTACTTACCGACAAATCCGGATTAGATTCCATACGGAAGATTCAAGATCGTTAACATCACCATCGACTACGCGGCTCACATTACTTCAAGATCGTTAACATCACCATCGACATCATACTTCGAATCATCGTAACCATCATATAGCCACACGAAGTTCGTCTTGACAAAAAATGCAAGCCTTTTATTTAAAATAGGAGTCACAACCGACGGCGGGGTGTTGGGGAGGGAGGGAGGCACCTTCACACAGTAGTTCGTCTAAACAATATTCCCCATGTGGCTGAATGGTACCCAATGTAAACAGACTGATGTAGAATCCTAAAGGACGCAGATTAATAAGAAATGATTCTGAATTGCCTGGGGCCGGTCAGTTCGATGATGATACCTCAAGGCCGTCGCCGTTCCAGAAAGAACCCAAAAAAAAAAAAAAGGTGATTTTCGATGAGGGGATGTCTGCAGCTGCTGGGAAGAAAATGCGACTGTCATATTTAATTAATTAGTTGATAATAAATTTTACTAAATAAATTCACGAGAAAACGCGACTGTCATATTTAATTAATTAGTTGACAATAAATTTTACTATATTCACGAACTGATTAGTTATAGCTGGTAAATTAATTAATTTTGATAAACTCACGTACTGATTATTTAGTCGATCGATTAATTACTTGATGAAATGCACTTGCTTATGACTAGATTCACTACCGTCTTCGCCCAAACAACCTCATCATGAATATATATGATACATCCACGTGGGCGGCCTTGTACGCAAGAAGTTCTGAACAGGGGGAGTTGTAAGGAAGATGATTACAAAAACGAATTCATTTTTTCCTTGTTTTCTTTCTCTTTCTTTTTTTCGCTTTTGCGCTCTGATATTATTGTGACAATATATGATGATGATGAGGGCGCGTAGTGTAAGACGGTAGTTCATCAATTACCTCGGTCAAGAAGAACATCAACATAGATAGAGGCCACCTAAACTTACGTAATGAGATGCTCCGATTCTCAATAAACCCTAGCGCTCTCTCTCTCTCTCTCTCTCTCTCTCTCTCTCTCTCTCTCTCTCTCTCTCTCTCNCTCTCTCTCTCTCTCTCTCTCTCTCTCTCTCTCTCTCTCTCTCTCTGTCTGTGAGTAACGTTCTTGGGCGAGGCCCTCTCGCTCCCCCTTCCGTCGCTCGTCATGCGGAACTGTACGGGACCAGAAACTTGCTGATGATACATCATTATACCCTTTCCCTCCGCCTTCTGTCACTCACTTTCTCCTCTCTCTCTCTCTCTCTCTCTCTCTCTCTCTCTCTCTCTCTCTCTCTCTCTCTCTCTCTCTCTCTCTCTCTCTCTCTCTCTGTGTAGCTCCCCTCCTATCATTGCCTCTTTTCTGTGGGGGTTGTATAAAGCACGCAACCCCCACAGGAAAGAGGTAATGCTAGGAGAGAGAGCTAGGGTATGTATCATCGGCAAGTTTTTGGCCAAGTACAGTCCCCATGCTCATGCGTCCTGGCAGGAGTCAAACGGTAAATGTGTTTGCATCCGGGTGAGCAGAAAGTAAATGAGAATGGGGGGAATGTCTAATCGACAAGTTTCCTGTCAAATGCAGTCCCGACGCTGATGCGTTCTGCTTGGACTGTATTTGACATGAGTGTCGGGACTGTATTCGCTCATGTTTCCTATCAAATTCAGTCCCGACACTGATGCGTTCTGCTTGGACTGTATTTGGGAAAAAGAAAAAAAAAAACACGAGCTGAGAGAGAGATAAACGGAACGAGAGCACAGGAGAGTAACAGCAGCTGCTGCTTCTCATCACCGCCACGTGTCCTTTAGACTGCCCCTCTCATAACCCCCCAATCTCGGCTTTCTATTCCTCTTCTACTTTGTCATGCTCCCACCACGTGTCTTGTGGCAAATTCCAATCAGAGTGCGCGCCGATGGTGCAGAGGACGGAGCAGGGCGAAACGCGTACAGATCACACGGAGGATAGTGGGTGGGTTTAATTAGGGCTGCGGGGACCGCTCACAATGGGGGTCCAGACCAACACTCGTACAGATCACACGGAGAAGAGTGGGTTTAATTAGGTCTGCGGGGACCACTCAGAATCGGGGTCCGGACCAAAAAAAACTCGAACAAATCACACGGCGAAGAGTGGGTTTAATTAGGGCTGCGGGGACCACTAGAATCGGGATCCGGACCCCATGGAATCACCCACGTAGAGGGACGGGAAGGACGGGACTCTCAGCGTATGACGACTGCCCATACCAGTGCTCCTCTCCCGATCCGGATCCTCATCAGCATTCTTTAAGCATCTCCATGGCCATATGTAGATAGATACAGATATATCGACGTAGGAGCAGGCGAGCTTCGGCGCGTACTCAGACGTGGGATTTTTGGCATGCATCTGACCTCCACGACGACCAGATATGTAAAGTCATTGCGTGAATGTGCCCTGATATAAAATAGGGATAGGAAAGAGGCGAGGGGACAAGGTAGCAGGATCAAATGAGGTCCGGACAGAAGGAACAAGTCAAGCCTAGGTGAGACGAGGCGGGGATACAGACCAGAATCATTTTCTGAGGCCAAGAGAAGATATCCATAACCATCGTCTTATATTCTTCTCCGTCGCTTTTCTTCTTTCTTTCTTCTTCCCCATCGTCGTCCTGTACATCTCCATCACCCTTTTTCTTTCTTCGCGTATTCCCCATCGTCGTCTTATATGCCTCCATCGTCTTTCTTCTCTCTCTTATTCTTCGCCCTCCTCGTACGCATCTCCATCGCCATTCTTCCTTCTTCTCTTCATCCCAATCATCGCCGTCCACCGCTCCATCGCCGTTCATCACCTCGATCATCGTCGTCTTCCTTCTCCATCGCCATCATCGTCGGTCTACGTCTCCATCTCCATCATCGTCGCCTACATCTCCATGGCCCCATCCTTGTCCATCGTAACAGACCCCGGGGAGGGAAGGGTGGGGAGGGGGGCTCTGGAGAGACCGGGGCCACGAAGACAAGACGGCACACGATACTTACTGCAAATATACAAAAGAAAAAGAAAGGATGGGGCACGATGCAATCCCCCACATTTTCGCCCTTATTAGGAAAAAACGGGAAGGGGGAAGCGAGAAGAGGCCATCTAGGAATATCGTTTGTCTAGTCTGTCACCACACAAAAAAAACTCCAGCTCAACGGAATCGTTTTACAAATTGCCGGAATTTGTTAAATTTTTGGTTCCGTTAAGTTGGCACCAGCGACCCACCCATCCATAGGGTTTGTCGATACCTCCCTCTTGCCGAGCAGAGGATGGCACAGCAAACACAAAGAACGTTAGCGATGAAAAACCTCGCAGGCAGAGTGCTGCGTGCAAAAGCGCGACCCCTTATCGATGAGCAACAAACTCAAAACCCTTGGTTGCGACACAGAACACTTGGTTATTCTCTCCGTGGTTGGTTAAACACTGAGTGATGAACTCAAGCCTTGGTCGTCCGACGAAGAGGGAGGTTTGCCACCGGAGAGAGGGAGGGAGGCGACGGTGTGTGAAACACTGAGGAAGAGATGGGACGCGGGCAGGGAGAGAACACGAGTGGGAAGACGACGAGATGCCATGCGGGTGCCGCATACACAGAGAAACGGAGAGAGGGATAGGGGGGGAGGGAGACAGAGCAAGAACTGGACCTTGATGAATGATCGTCGCTTTATGAAGGAGAGGGAGGGAGAAGAGAGAGAGAGACAGAGACAGGGAAAGAGGGAGAAGAAAGAGAGAGAGAGAGAGAGAGAGAGAGAGAGACAGCAAAAAGAGAGACAGACCGACAAACAGACAGACAAACACACAGACAGAGAAACACAAAGACAGGCGAAAGAAAGAGGCCGACAGATAGACTGAGAAACTGACAGAGAAACACAGACAAACAGAGAAAGACACAGTGACAGGCAGTGGCGAGAGAGATAGACAACGAAACAAACACACAGCCATACAGAGATGGGTGGTAGAAAGAGAGACAGACAGACAGACAGACAGACAGACAGACAGACAGACAGACAGACAGACAGACAGACAGGCATGCAGAGGAGAAAGAGGAACATTCTCGATAAAGCAAGCAAGCTGATGAATGATGGTCTCTCACCTGCATAGCTGTTAGTGATATCAACACGACCCCGGAAGGTCTCACCGAGCAATACCCCGATCACCCTTTTCCGCGTGTCTTTCGCCACACGATTGTAATTATCGACGATCGAGAGAAGTACAAGAGGATGGACAACCACTTTCTCTATAGGGGCCGGCATTTGAACTCGCTGGGGACACACACGCAACAGCTGAAGCAACCCACCGCGGAATTGCGACCAGGTTCACCTGACGTGAAAACGGGAGGGATAATCTCCCTGCAGAGTCGACTGCCGTCTGATCCCGCACCTCCTGATGTGAAAACGGGCGCGAGACTGTCCAAACACGACGCCGCCAATCACATGAATGATCGACCGAATGCGAAATCGCCCGCGCTCACGTGATGACCGTCCCACTTGAACTACCGCGCGCGCTCACCCGATTTTAGAGTCGGCCGCGCTCCGTGACGTTATGACGTGCTACCGCACGCGATGACGTGGAGAACTCCGACTGCGCTCACGTATAGGACTTACCCCGCGGCTGTGGAGCACAAGGCGCGATAGGAACCGACGGTGAAACCGAGCCTAGCGAGCACACCGAATTTCCTTCTCCCGCCGAATAACGGACTACTTCGGATCTATTCGATTTTCATATAATCAATTTCCATGGCGGACCCAACTTGGGTGGTCCATTCAACAGACGTTCAACTGGACGGTGACCTGAACCAGCTGATGCCCGCAGCCAGGGGTGCCATGTGTGTTCGCAGCCTACACCCAGAGTGGTCATTCTGGGGCTGGTCCCACTTGCAAGCGGGGATCAGCGGCTGAAAACTCCTAGCCCCTGAGTCAAATTTTCGTGGTTTGGTCAATACCGGTGTCCTTTCGGGTCCAAATGGTAGTTGGAAGGGTGGTGATTTTGCTGGGGCAATTCATGGGGAGCGGGCAGTTGTTGCTTGTGGAGGACTGGTAGCTGCCCGTAGGATGCCCTGCCCGAAAGGGTCCACTTTTCTGGAATAGAAGGGCACTTCGAATACAAGCCGTACCTTTTCTATTTGAATTTCGAAAAGAAAAAACCTTTGTATTGAAATAGAACACTACCTTTTTTTGGTGAGAAAACTACGGCGCATTCAGGGTTTGAGTTTAAAAATGCACTTGAGGCAAAAGGGCTGGTAATGGCGAATGTTCGCAGCCCGTCAAGGGTGTGTTGCCCCCCCCGAGACATTTCCCCCCCAGACATTTTCGCCGTCCTTCGTTATACCGGTCGTTGATTCGGGCTCGTTTGGTCATTGGAAGGTTCAAAAAATGCAGGCAGGTGCCGGCATGACACTTTGGGGGGGGGTGGCAGTTTCTTCGAAAAATGCGGGACCCGTAGCTGCCCGTGGCACCGCGCGCTGGGTTTTGGTCGAAACGGTGGCAAAGTAGCGGCAGGGTGGATCTTTGGGGGGGGTGGCAGTTTCTTTGAAAATGTGGGATCGGTAGCTGCCCGTGGGACCACTCGCTGGGTTTTGGTCGAAACGGTGGCGAAGCAGCGGCAGGGTGGAAAAGTTTGCAGCCCGTCAAGGGTGCGTTTTCCCCCCCTGAGATATTTCCACCCCTGAGGAATTTTCGCCGTCCTTCGTTATACTGGTCATTGATTCGGACTTATTTGCTCGTTGGAAGGTTCAAAAAATGCAGGCAGGTGCAGGCATGACACTTTCGGGGGGGGTGGCAGTTCATTTGAAAAATGTGGGACCGATAGTTGCCCATGGGACCATGCGCTGGGTTTCGGTCGAAGCGGTGGCAAAGCAACGGCAGGGTGGAAAAGTGGAAAAGTCTGAATCGGAAAGAGCGCGGTCTTGGCCTCAGGTTGAAACGACACATCTGCATTGCATTTGCAAGTGCAAACAAATGTGTCTGAACGTGGACGTATTCAACGCCGCACACGTTCAGCGCTCGATTGAGTGAGTCACATGTGCCCATTTTGCTCGTTGTCAGCGTGCTCTCTCTCTCTCTCTCTCTCTCTCTCTCTCTCTCTCTCTCTCTCTCTCTCTCTCTCTCTCTCTCTCTCTCTCTCTCTCTCTCTCAAGCATATACAAACTACGGGTTGCGCACCCATGCCCTCACAGTAAGTCAATATATAACCTAAGGTTTCAGGTTCCTTGGGGTCACGTGGGGGTGTGTTGTCTTTGTGGAATAGCCCGAAGTGCATTTTCAGATTGTTTTCGTGATTGCGCCGAAGTTACCCGTTTTTTTTTTTTTTTTAGACCACCAGTACTCCCTCGAGTCGTGCCCGTTAACGCGCCACGATTTTAGACAACGTACGAGCTACTACATGAGCATCCAAATTCATCCGACTATAAACGTTTTTACTTTTTTTTATTTCCACGACCGATAGATGGGCCAAGTACTAAAGTTTAAGGTTGGTTTTTGCCCTTGTGCTCCCCACCATTGACATGATGCATATTACAAGGATTTCTTTTCCGTAAGGACCACATATGGTATTCGCACACAACACAAGGTATGGATCAGAATGTTTGCAAAATGGACATAGACGTCGTGTCTGAGTTAAGATTATTGAGACAGAGTATTTCATGGTTAGATGGGTCGTCCTAGTCGACCAACGTAGGGTTGCGTTTAGAAGATCAGTGCCCCAAGCGTCAATTTGTGCACGGGTCCGAATATGGCGTTAACCACACATACTCCCTATGCTACAACGAATGAGAAATGTCTTTGGTTGATCCACCTCTAGAGCCGCAAAAACGAACTCTCGCACATTGATTTAAGACTCAGTGGAGATACGTCAATCCAAGGATGGTCACAACTTTCACGGGTAGAGGTAAGTTATGTCTCGCAAGGTCTTATCCAGTACTAGGAATTTTGGAGAGGTATAGCTAACGCACTCAGTCAGAGCGACACTGTTTCAAAACGCTTTGCGTCCCAACTGCCAAAAATTTGTGTAGCGCGGCTAGGAGGGTTCCCATGTGGGGCCGATGCGCTCGACAGGTCGCGTTGTCAAGCGTATCGGCTCCCGCTTTTTTTGCAAAGGGGGGGAGCCCCCCCGACCGCCTCACACAAGAGTTAAACAAGATAAAATCAAAGACAACTTGGGGATGACGCGTAAATAATTTTACGAACTACCAAGACGGACGAGGTTGTGTCGTCGTCTTTGCCGCTCTAACTGGGTACGCCAGTCGTACTTCCCTCGGTCCTTTACGCTGTTGGACAAAATACCCTTACAAGGGTATTTTGCCATGTCTTTGCATTAGACACGGTGACGGCATCGGCTACCATGACGGAGCCAGTCTGGAATAGAAAGGGTATGCATGCTTGAGCGTGACACTCGAAATGAATTCCTCGGCCATTGAAGACGGGGCAAAATCGGTGAGAAAATTTTGTTAAGTATGCGCGCGCGTTATTATGACGCACGCTGTGAAAGGTTAGGATCTGCAGTAATACCCTTCGACTGAAGAGGTTGAGGGGTCGATAGGGTTGATGTTATGACGAGCAGATCTATGATGTACGCTGAGGCTTAATCGTCAGTACATTAGTTAGAATAAACTAATATGCGCCCCGGTCGTACGACCGGTGCAATTATTAGTGTATAGTCATCGGGGTTGAGGTAGCGCCCCGATTGTTGACATTTGCACGAGCAGTACCTTTATCTTTAATAGTGCACCGTAAGCGGGGTTGAGGCTCTAGCTCAACCTCCCGTAGGTAGAAAGGGAGTCGCCCCTTGAGAGGTGACTTCCTGACCACATGACTACCCTAGCGACCGGTGCCTTCGTCCCTCTGCGGAGGGAGACACCATTGCAAGTTATGATATCGTCCGCACGGGGTCTAATAGACTGAGACTACTTGACCTAGTACCCGCCTACCTAACGATACTGGACCTCTAAAAATGCCAACTTTTGTTTTCTTCTGCTCGGCCTCGAGTACCCGGCACAATTACCCCTACCTTAGTGTAGGCATGGTCTTACCCGTCACTTGTGTGTTTTCCCCGCGGCAACCTTCAATGTCTCAGCCGCAGGTAAGTACCCGCCTTCGGGCCTACCGGTCAACCAAGTGCCCTTGCGGGACACACACACGCTCAAGCCGATAGACACTCGGACAGGCACGCCGAATAACAAGTGCTCACGCACTAACTCTGAAACGAGCTCGGGCCATTGGGCGGACTGAGCCTTACTACCTTACATATATCTGAACTGCCCCACTTTTACTCGAAGTGGAAGCTAGCTCAGTAGGTTTAGGTGCAGACTCACCTGTCCGACCAGGTAAGTACCGAGCTAGCTTCTTCTTCTTCTACCCAGAGATGGCGGCAAGTGGGAGAAATAAAAGTGTCAGACGAAGGAAGAGAATGCCGTGAAGGAGAAGAAGAAGAAGAAGAAGAAAGACAAAGAAAGGAGAAGAGAAAGAAGACGAAGAAGAAACCGAGAGTACTTACCTGGTCGGACAGTCTATAATGGCGATGTTCCGGACGTGGGATCGAGTACTTGAGTTACGTGGGACTCTCTGCACATGCTTGCTGTGGTTTCCAATTGCAAGGAGCGGGCTAATCTTTCCCGATGGTCAATAGTCAATGATTCTCCTATACCACGTATCTGCTACTTACCATATTTGAGGGAGTCTTCCACCAAGAACGTCAGCCGAAAGGTAAGTCTCCAACCCCACGGCTGACCACGTAGTACTCTCATCAACGGATGAGCGAAATCTAATGAATCTGACGTAAAAGCATGGAAGTGTGCACCCCTACACCTATGTATGTGTGTGCGGAGAAGGTGAGCGGAATCAAACGAATCTCCTACCAGAACAGGGACAAAATGCACTACTACACTGTGTGTGAAGGAATCGTGTAATGAGAAAGAGAAAGGTGAAAATAAAGAGGGCAAACTTACCTGTTTAGTTGCAAACGATCGTTGCTGCTCCCGTGAATTTCCCTATGAAGAAGAAAACCACGTTCCTCCTACTTGTATTAGACCAAAAAAAAATCGATTGTATACATCCAATCTCATTAATATTATTATTATTATTTTTTAATTATTATTATAGCTGTTATTATTATTATTATTATTATTATTATTATTATTATTATTATTTGGTGCATGGTAATCTTGGGTGCATATGACATCTGTGTGTCGGGGGTCAAGGTCGCGAGTGGTACGAAAGACATACTTGGTGCGTAATGAGTGCGGCATGAGCCGATATCTGCTCGTACTTGGGAAGTTGCTGATGTCATCAGCGGCGTCCTAGTCTAGGCTAAATCGGATCCGCCATCTGTAGTCTGGGTGCCGAGCGCCTGATAGGATATCAACATTGGTTTTTCGTTGATGATGATGATGGGACGATTCCAACATTGTCGATTATGAGCATTTGGTGTGCTCTTATTTGGTGAAACTCGTGATGCTATTCTGCTTTCAGTTCGAGTTGACGATTATCTGGTCTTATGTGTATGAAGCTGCTTGGTTCTGAAGTTCACTATCGCTCA